CCCCCCCACTCCATCGCCCCGAGGGATCACCGATACGCCCCACAGCAGCGAGCAGGGTCCCCCTCTTCCTCTCTCCCTGCAGCCCCATCCTACGATGCCGTGGAGACCCTCCACGCCCAGCTGGGGGGCATGGGGCAGCCCCTGGTTGTGCCCACCCCAGCCAGGCTTTAGCAGGGGTGGAAATGCCACCAAGTCCCCTGAGCACAAACTTTTCCCTCCTCCCGCCCCTCGCCCGCACTGCCCGCACGGCGCTGCACTCACCCCGCAGCGCGCGGCCCCTTTAAGACCCTCCAAGGCGGAGCAGAGCCGCCCCTCTGCCGGCGCCCGCGCTGCGCCCGCTTTATATGGCCGCGGCAGTGCTATTAATAGCACGGCTCGGCTAGGGGGCGGGGCCGGGCGCGCTGCGGACCGCCCACAGGCTTAAGGGGGTGCGGGAGGGCACCCCTGCCTGCAATGGGCTCGTCCCGCGCATCCCTGGGGCGATTCCGGCGCGAACACACGTTCCGCGGAGCGCGCGAGGCGCGCCCCGAGCCCCTGCGGCTCCCGCGGGTCTGATCTGGGGCACGGGCACCGCGGGGAGGGCGGGCAGCGCTGGGTCAGCTGCAGGCAACGCGGGACAAAGTTATCACGTGTCTTTTGTGTGATGTAATGGATGCCTGGTTTTCTCGCACCCTTCCTTGAGCCAGCATGAGGCCAGGGCGGTGCTTCAAGCAGGGGGTTTCAACCTTTGGATGCCAAGGACCAGCAAACCGCGGGCTGGACGTCACCACGGACCGGCAAACCAAGGGACTGCGGACCAGCAAACCGTGGACCAGAAGTGACTGCAGCAAACTGTGGCTTGGAAGTGACCGTGGCCTGGCAAACCAAGTGACCACGGACCGGCAAACTGCAGACCAGAAGTGACTGGCATGCTGCAGGCAGGCAGCCAACCCTTTTTTATACAGGCAGTCCTCAACTTCCAGCCTTTCAAGTTACAGCGTTTTGCACTTACGACGTTTTTAAATTGACACTTCCGACATCAGTTTCAACTTGATGATGCTTGATCCAACTCCACGCCAGCGAACAAGTCGCCCATCTCCCTGGAGAGCATCTGTGCAAACTTCCTGGGACACTTTCTTTAAGAAAGCCGATGACTTTAAGAAAGCTGACTCCAGAAAATCCTCCAGCCAAGAGCCCTTCGAAAAGTCCAACCAAGAGCCTTTCAGAAAGTCCCGCAAAGTCACTTCAAAGAAGTCCTTCCAAATCAATCTGATTGCTATTTACAATATAAATACATTCATGTAGCTATATTACTCATCTATAATTGATTGAGTACAAAATTCTGGGTTATTTTTGGTGAAAATAGGGTATTAGGAACCAATCCCCCCATTTATAACACTGTTTCCTATGGGAAAATCGGTTCTGAGTTATGTTTCGACTTAAGACGCGGGTTTCAGGAACCGATTGTGTCGTAAGTCCGAGGACTGTCTGTACTGAATACAGTACTGAGCACAGTATGAGCAAAGGGTTGCCTGCCAGTCCGCAGTATGTCGGTCATTTCCAGTCCACAGTTTGCCGGACTGTGCTCACTTCTGGTCCGGCAGCTAACCCTTCGCAGCCAGGCACCGGGGCTTGGAAACCCCTGACTTAAAGAGTGATGAAGCAGTTCATCGCGTCATAAGTGTCACATGTGTCACAGGAGTAGGTTGTAGCCACGTTGGTTTAAGGACACAGGCAAGGTTCTTTGGGTAAATGTGGTATTTTTTATTAGACAAATTTGAGTTGATGTGTGTGTGAGCCCTTCTTTATCCTGACTTCAGACGAACATGGCTAGTTACCTCTCTTTGGTGTTTCGCACCCATGCCAGCTCCCCCAGCTGCGGAGGGGAGCCAAAATCCCAGCCCAGTAAACCCCCTTCCCCCTGGTCCAGTGCTTTTAACACGGCTAGCCCCAGCAAAGACGCTGAGGCAAGACCCCGTGTGTGACGGAGGGGTTGCAGGATCAGGTCCCCCTGCAGGAGACCTAATTGGGCCTGCTTCTAACTACCTACTCAGGCTAATTAGCCAACCAGCAGCACTGAGCACCCAGTGCTACACCGCTTTAGGTTCAGGAAGGTGGCCTGGTTTCCACTTGATTTTTGACTACAGAAACGTAGCAGAGCAATTCTGCTTGTGGGCTTTGACTTCTTTACAACAACAGTCAGCTTTTAACACTGTGGAGTCCTGCTTGAAAACTGGGGAAATCTTGGAAATCATGTTTGTGCACCTAACGTTGTGTGACATCCTGCAACACCCCTGGAGTGTCTCGAGCCCCTTGGTTGAGAATGACTGGTGCAGACGTTGCCGGGATGATGCAGGAAAGCTAATGCTCCCAACCCCTTCCCCTCCCAGATTAATATACCCCAGTGCTCCCCGGGTGACTTAGCCGTTGTGGGGATCCACCGGGGTGTGTTTTACATGCACATAAGAGCTGGCTCACACCCAGTGTTTTTTGTCTGAGCACACAGAGGGAGAAACAACCCGTTGCTGTCTCCATTTTACAGATGGGACCACTGCACCTGTCCCACAGAGTGAGGAGACGAGTCCAGATTTTTGTCACCCCCATCCCATGCTTTTGACCACTGGACATTTCTCCACATGCAGACCTGAGGCATGGATGACACAATGCAGCACTCACTCTTGCTGCAACAAGTTTGCACGTGTCTGCCCAAAAAATTAATGTAAAGGCAAGTAAAGTCCAGCCTGTCTGTTGCCTGAATAAAATCACCCCTCCCGAATGACCCAAGGTCTCAGCTGATTTACAGCCGCTGGCAAAACTCCAACGTGGCTGTGCTCCAGTAACGGCACTGCTGGCTGCTGCGAGCGGTGGGGACCTGCGCACAGCACAGCCTGTTTTCCGCTGACACAGCCTCTTGCAGTGAGCTGCATGGCGCGGGTTAAAGGGGTGCATGCACGTGCCCTAGTGGCATAACAGTGTCGCCAGCAATAAACTGACAAAAGTTTTAATGATAAAATTTCCTAGCATGGAAACGGTCCGAACTCTCGTGCTACAAAATGTACACGTAAGACTGGTTGCCTTGAGGGTATGCCAGTATCTGAAGCACTCAAAGCACACTGCAAACATTTAGCCCTGCAAAGACAGGAAATGATAGTCCCCCTTTAAGACGAGGAAACAACCGTACAAAGAAGGCAGGCCAACTCATGAATCCAGACACCTGCATTCAGACGTAGGCACCGAACAAAGCCTGATGCTCAGAGGTGCTGAGGACTTGGGACCTTCGCAGACACCAGCTGTCTCCTTGCTCTGAAAATCTGTCCGCTTCGATTTCACAGGTCAGTTTGAAAAGGTTGGTTTCGTAGGACGCACCAGCTAATGCAAGAGTCAAGAAATGCAAGTTCTTTCTTAACTCCTCCATGTTAGCTGCACTTCTAATCAGAATATACACCTCCCTCGAGTCACATCACCCACATAAAGTAAAAATAAATGTAAGCAGGAAAATATGCAAACTGACAGCCCCAACTTTCTCGAATTTCTGCCTGGAGCAGTAGCAGACTATTTATAAGAAATATCAGCTAAAGAATGGGATACAAAGAGATATTTTCAAAGACTGAATGACCCCTATTTTGAGAAAGCTCCAAAATCTGATTTATTGACAGTCAAATGAGCCTAAAGATGCTCTAGTCAACAACAAGCATTGTATTAATAAGAGAGCCCCACTGCTCGCTCGCTCTCCAGCTAGGGTAAGACTGGATAAAACTGGTCAAAATTTCACATTTTTTTATAAAAAGGACTGCTGCAATACAATAACAAAAATGAAAGGAAAAGTTTGGAGGGCACTTTTTATGAAATGTTTGTTTTCTCTCATTCACCCAGCTCTAACGATGGGCTTCCATGGGGGCATGGGGTGGATAAAAGTGGCAAGAAAATCTCATAGGTTGGGGGTTGCTCATCAAATGGATTTTCTATAGCCATTATTTGTATAGCACATTCTTCCACTCTTAGGACCATATGAATGTTGTTGTGAAGGATACCAGTGGCCCCGTATCTATTGGTGGCCACGTACAGACCTCAGTCTGTTGCACAAGCAAACTGTCTGCGTGCAGTATCAACCAGGTGTTTCGAATGTGGCTACAGGGCTTGGGGCTAGAAGTACGCTACAGAAAGCGTAACTTCTTGGACACCAGTTGCATCTAGCCTACTGCTCAGAGACTCGTCAACTCAGCTCACATAAACCACTCAACAGCTGTGACTGTTTCCCAGTCCTATTAAACTAGTGCCTGTACCATCGCTACTAATCACAATAACAAGAAACTGGAAAAAGTTTCACTATGAAAATGGCATTTTGGTTCTGAGTGGTTAATTGGATCAATTAAAAAATCACTTAAAAAACGCAACAGTGGGTCGAACAGTGACGTTTGCACTCAGACAAAACTCCCGCTGTCCTCATTCACTTGGAGACTGACTTTAGCCCTGTAGCCTTTTGAGGACTCCCAATGGGGCCATATAATAATGTGGGACATATTGCGAAGTGATAGCCCAAGATGATATTTGGATTCTGCTTGATGCTCCGTCTGTTTAGTTATCTACTAACGCAGTGCATTTTCTAACTGCTGAAGAGACTCCTGGGTGTGCACACACATACTAACTAACCTTCTGGCTGTTAAGCCGATTGACCTTTTTAAAGTCAACTTAACGGTCAGAGTGTACAGATGTATGTGGAACGGAGTCGACTTAAATGTGACGCAAGATAAAACAGCTCCGCGGTATATTATCTTGAATCGCGTTCGTGAATATTGCCAAGTATCACAAGATGGCTGCTACCATGTCAAGGACTTGCACACGTGTACACGCTGATGTGGCTTAACTTAAGTTGACTTAAGTTATAGGTGTGTATGCACCCCTATTGCCTAAGGCTCATTAAACTGGCATTACCTCTTCAGTGTGTATGGGAGTGAGGGTAGGTGTGTGGGATTGCCTCTGAAGTGTGCTGCGGGTAGGTAATTATATAATAGGATATTCTTCTGCCCACTAGGACAATGGGTAGTTTCTAGTCAGACAACTTGCATGCTTTTGTTCCGGTTTCCATAGCAAGACAGAGTATTTCGGAAGAGGACGAAGGTGAGGCAGGGGTCATGACAGCATGTGATAGAGCTTAGTCCTTTATCAGCATCCTTCCTTTGGGGCCAGCTGGGTTGTACAAAAAGAGGGAACTGTGACAGACTCTCTGGTGCAAATCAGATGGATTGCAGATTGGCTGAAGGGTTGCACTCAGAGGGTGGTGGTGGATGGATCATATTCGACTTGGGGGGAGGTGGGTAGTGGAGTCCCCCAGGGCTCGGTCCTGGGGCCTGCGCTGTTCAATTTCTTCATCAGCGATCTTGATGTTGGGGTGGAAAGCAACCTGTTTAAATTCGCTGATGACACCAAAATTTGGGGGGAGGTGAGCACGCTAGCAGGGAGAGAGAGATTGCAGAAGGATCTGGATAGATTAAAGGGGTGGGCAGACAGGAACAGGATGCGTTTCAATACGGACAAGGGCAGGGTGCTGCACTTGGGTAGTAGGAACCAGCAGCACACTTATACGATGGGGAACTCCCTACTTGAGAGCACGGAGGCGGAAAGGGATCTTGGTGTCATCATTGACTCCAAGATGAACATGGGCCGACAATGCGAGGTCATGGTTGGCAGGGCTAACCGGACCTTGTCGTGCATCCA